GGAAAATCTTAGGATAAATCTTGGAAAAATTTTTAATATTTTTCAAAAATATGGCAAATTTGGTACATTTTGGCAAAATTCGTGAACTTTGACCCTTCACAACTTTTGTGTTTCTCAACCGATTGGACCGATTGAGGGCTCAAATGAAAGATCTATTGTTCCTCTATCGGACACATACCACACTTACCGGATGTGGTCACCGGAAGTGACCGGAAAACGTGTCTCGGAGATGGTCCCGAGATTTCGTAGAAATTGTTAAAATTAAAAAATTATTTTTTGTGCCCAAAATCATCACATTATTAGGCTATTCAATAAAACAAACCGCTTCTGAAAATATTAAGCCATTCCGGAGAAATTTAAATTATAGCCAGAAACAACAATATTGTATTACCTAATATAATTATGTGTGTTATATATTTATCCCATGTTATATATCTCTGTATATAGCTACTGTTAAAGAAATAAATGAATTAATTGCTGATCTAAACAAGATATTTGACACTAATTCGCATTTATCGGCCGAATATTACAACTTTTGGTTTGAAAATAATAAAGTAATCATTCAAAGTGAATATAATTCAATAGATTTAAAGGATTTAATAAAAAGGAAAACTAAAACATTCAAAACCCAAGCTTCCGATGACATGATTTGTATTGATTTCTACATATCGTGTGAATTAATGCGAGAACTCTTGCAATGTCTTCATTATTATCAACAAATGTGGGAATTATTAGACAAATGGTATATAAACGATGACTATATGCTAATTGACACTCATATGAAGTATGACAGATGTATCAGGGTATACACATACCGTGCTCAAAAAACAAAGAAAGATCAGCGGAATTGTTATTATAATTATTACCGGACAAGGATTGGTTATATTTTTAAGCCAGTTATGGAGAAGTAAGTATAATTTTATTAAACCAATATAGTTTATAACATACTATCATTTAGGGACAACATACCGACTTACCAGGGTATACAAACTCATAGAATTAAAGAATATTTAAGTGATAAGGACTATACAAATAAAACTATGCCATCGGTCGAGGAAATGGTGAATGAATTTAACGACATTTTCGCGCATAATATCCGTATAACCGATGAAATGATTTCCTCATGTAAAGTGGGACAAAATTTATTTATGAATAGAAAATCTATGGATTGAGATAATAAAATGAAATTTTTAAAGATTATTATCTATTATATATGAAATCAATATAAATGTCCATTTTGTTGCTAGGCACCATTGGAACAAATATTCTTCTTGATTCTTCGGGAGATATTAATTAAAATGTTTGCACTTTAATTTGATACAAATAATCCAGAATTTAATAAAATAATTTCGATTTTTACATCATAACCTAAATTAACAGGTGTAATTTAATAAGTTTTATTACATAAGTTAATAATAACTCTTAAGATTATTCTCTGGATCTGCTTTAAGTTTGCTATATTTAAGATATAATTGTTAACAATATTGTATTGTTGGCATTATTTGTATAGCTCATGCACAACTCATTTTGGATGACCTTCTCTTTCAGACAATATATAACTAATATTAGTCTGAAAATTATGAAATTTATATTATCTTATAGAGAAGGAAATGCACTTTAAATCTAATCCATTTCCTACAATAATGGTCAAGGAATTACCGCGCGCGACCATGGTAAACTTTGTCCCACTACATGACTTATACATTAATGAAGATATAATTTTATCTTAAGATTATTAAACTGTATATAAGCTTTTATAAACGCTACTATTTATTTATTTAACTTAAAGTATTATTGCTGAATCTTAAAAGACCCTTTTTATTTTTTACTAAATATGTTGGCAACTAGGTCCATTGTTTTAATGTTAAGCGTAGTTTACATTGTAGTAATTATTGCCAAAGTTGAATCAGATCCGTGTAAGTTTCATATTTTTAATCAACGCGTTAGATGTAAAAATTAATATACTATAAAACTTATGTTTTAATTTACCAAGGTACGACAGATTGCATTTGTGGTACCCAATCTGGCAAACATTGTGGCACTCGAAAGGGCTTGTATTTATTTGGCAACTGTAACCCAAATGGCTATTATAATTGCGACTTTCCTAACACAAAAGCTGTCCACATAAAGGACTGTCCCGAAGATGCTTGTTTGACAGAAAATGGGGCTGGTAGGGACGTATGTCCAGCATTCCGATAAAATTACCAAGAACAAAATTATATATTTTTTATATTTAAATTAAGGCTAATGTCATTGTTCAAATATTTTATTTTATAAAAATTATTAACAATAACACCTTTAATAAAATGAATAGAAATGTATATTTATTATATTATAAGAGTGTATTAATTTTAATAAGATTTTTTTAATTGACATTAATATCTAACCGTTTGCATATTTTTAAATTATGTATTATATTTATTACTATAATAATTAATAATTTTTAAATTAATATTTTAATAAATTTTCGAAAATATATAATTTTTTGTTCCTACTTTTCATAATTCGCATATTTGCTTAATTTGATTGATTGATGTTTTTATAAAATATTTTTAAAATTTTATTAATTTATTATTCATTTTATGTAGTATTTCGTAAGATAAGATTAAGACTAAGTATGAAATTCATATATTACCATATAATTAAATAATAAATTCATAAATCATTAATACAGATAATAAATGTGAAATTTGCAAATATTACCATTATTAATATTAGTTGTGTTTAAGTTAATGTTACATTTTACAAAAGTAATCATAAATGTATTTATTTGTCAGTGTAATGAAATGCATAGTGATAATTCATAATAAATTACGTACTTTTAGTGGGTTTTATTTATTGTTTTATTAAATGTATTTCAATAAAGCCGTAAAAATCAATGTGAAATTCATATATTATTACAAAATTAAATGATAAATTAATCGTAATTTTTATTTCAACAAATAATAGATACAAATACCAGTATTCATGTAATTTTGACAAATTTAAAAAGTGTATAAACTGCTAACTAATAACCAAACCACATTAATATTTTAACTATTTTTACAGCTTACAATAAATTGTAAAAATGTGGTCAAACAGGTCTACCCTGTTAACATTTTGTGTCCTATGCATTGTGATGATCAATGGCGATCCAGTAGAGTCTATGTCCAAAACCCCCGAACTTCCTATTGGAGCTTGTAAGTTTTAAAATATATTAATTTCTATAGTATAAATTGCTATTTGTTTAATTGTTTTATTTAATTAGATGAGCCAGGGTGTATATGTGGTGCGGTGGGTCGTCACTGCGGATCACGCGTGGCTACCGGGCAATTACAGGGCACTTGTAGGGACGTACTATACGAGTGCTTGGAGATTGACATGGGTTATGAAGCAAGGTATATCGGCGACTGCACGTGGTGCGAGAAGAAAGATGTCGGAAACGATCAATGTAAGTTTATAACACCACTGTACAGGGTTATTTTGTTAGCATTAATTATAAATATGGAATTTTAAAACAGGTTTACATTTAGTTAATTATATTGCACGCTGTCTATGTGTGGCAATGCTCATATGTTATTATTGTAAAAAATAAATTAATATAACATTATGATATACAGTACTTAAACGTCGCAGACTAATTATTATAATTGTTTATAAACGTAACAAGGTGCGTGCATGTTGAATGGCTCAGCGACTGGCAAACACTGCGCTTCCAGATATGGCACGTACCTGTTGGGCCATTGTAGGCCAAACGGCTATTACAATTGCGACTTCAAAAATGGACCTTGTTACCACGTAAAGGACTGTCCTCAATATGCATGTTATACTGACAACGGGGTTGGCAGAGATGTATGTGCCACTCGGTATAGCTCATTGGTTAAGCAAAAATTGAAATCAATTTCATAAATATTGTGATATTGATAAAAGACCGGACTTTATGATATATGATATTATTTAAATCATATAATTTAATCAGGATTATAAAAAATATTAAACACTAATTATATTATTTGTTTAAAATTAAAACTAACTATTCAAATTTATTATGGTTATAAAATATAATTTTCAATAAAAATGTTTATGATTATCAATTAATTGAATTCATTTAGAAGAATATATATTATTTTACATTGTCTAGTTCTAATTAATTTGATCAATTTGTGGCAAAGCAGTTGCTAGCTGACTGGCAACTACCCTTGGAGTGGTATTCCACAACATACATATCTTTATAAACGCCCTGTTCTTCACGTGAAACACTATCGCGAAGTTCTTGCAAATTGGGAAAATCGGGGGCATTGACATTTTCTAATGCTAAAAATAGAAGATTAATTTAACAAAGTGATACTCCATTATTACGCAGTAGACAAACAACTGAACATATATAAACATTTACTAAAAAATATAATTTAATAGATAAGAATTTATCATAGTGTTCAAAGTTTGTAGACTCCGTTCAATGTAATATTAAATTACAAAATTATCATATATTTATTAAATTCACCATTTTAAAAATTAATTTTATAATTAAGTAGATATTCTGTTTCAGAATTAAAATTGGACGCAAATAATCAGATTAATCAAGAAATAAATCATGTGTTATACATCAGACTTTTATGGCTTTTAATATTAATTAAAAATCACTTGAATCAAATACAGTGCACTTTCTATACAGTGAACGACTTGGTGACAAGGATTTTCGTGCACTATATGGAGAGTTCACTATAAGGAATAATGACAAAAAATGTTTAAATTTACAAGTCAATTGTTTTATTGTGTTAAATGATAGAGTGATATAAACTATTAATTAAAATAAGGTTTATCATTTACTTTTAAAGAAAATAATCATAAATTAAATATAATTTGGATGAAAAATATATATCCGTATGTTCTGCCTATTACTATGATCGAAAATTTCAAATAACTATTATTGTCATTATTTAACATAAAGTACAGTAACGGTTGACTACATAAATAGCATTTTTGATTCCAATAAATTTAATTAAATTTTAATATCTTATTTTAAATCAATATTTCTGTCCCAATCAAAATGATCGTCAATTTCAATAATAAAACAATAGACATACTTCTTATGAGACATTTTATTCACAATATGTGAAAATCTAAATTCTAAAAGGCTAAATGTGCCTATGAATGCAGGATGAAATGAATACTGTATTGTGAACAGTATTGATATTTCATTATTTTAAATAAAAGTTAATTAATAGTTTAATCACTAATTAAATATTTTTTAGGATTATTTCAATTAGAACTCATATTATTGGTTAACCAAAATAAATATTTAATTATTGGTATTTTCTTTTTATGAATTTTATTAATAAATCACATTGAACACTTCAAAATAGGCCTCTTCATATCTTAGTTTTAACACATAACCAGTAAAACAAATTATTAAAATGTTTTAAAACTGTTTTGTGAAAATATATAATTTCTAAACATTTTACACTATGTCACAGTAATCGCTATATTATTGCTTGGAATTATTATTTATATACACTGTATAGAAAGTTAGTCCTTTAAACGTTGAAAATCCATGCACAATATAGAATTATACACTATATGGAAGTTCACTGTATAGGGAGTCAATTAACATAATAGGTATACAGTGGCCGCCAAATCAATATATTTCGTCCACTATAAGGAGAGTTTACTATAAGGAGAGTTACTATATGGAAAGTGCACTGTATTATTCTTTTTTAGATTTATTATATCGTTTATCATTAAGGTTATAAAAGTAATGACTAACTGTATGCTATTTTTATATTTATAGATACAGTTTAATATCTCATAATCCTACATATAAATATGCATTTGAATTTTTATTGTGTTAAAACAAACCGAATTTCAAACACAAATAAAACTTGTTACATTTATTGCCCTGATAAAATTTCATATTTGATAAGAAAATTTATGTATATAAATGTCTATTAATTTTATATAATTCACATCATTGCAAATCTTTTTTAAAATGTTTTCTAAAATATTATTAGCATTATGTTTGTGTTTATGTTATATTTTTGTAATTCATGCAAAATCAAGTATTACTGAGCATCCTACTACAGGTAATTTGATTATAAACATTTTACTAAATGCAATATATTAACTATAATTCTACATGTCCACCTTTTATTAAATTAGCATGCAAATGTTTAAATGATGGCATTGAAGGTAAATATTGTGGTTCACGTATGGGTCGAGAATTGTATGGAAATTGTGAGACAAAAGGATTTTATAAATGCAATAAATTTGGACAAGCACATTTATTATTTATCTGCCCATATTGTGTAAATGACGTTCAGGGTGGAGATTTTTGCGCCTACTATTATTCTGACCTTGATGATGCACCTATATTTATGAATTTATAACTTTTATAAATTTTTATATTATTTACTAACTGGTAAATAATAATTTACATCAGATACACAGTATATACATAATATGAAATCATTTTATGTTATTACCGAAATAATTGTACATGTTGCTTATTAATATCTGATTATATAAATTACTTAATAAAAGATAATTATAATGGCTAAGACTAAGGTGAACATATTAAAATGTAAAGTATAATCGAAAATATGACATCATATCAATATAGTACAATGCGCTAATTAAATAAAGCATTATCACGAATGAGTAATAAATTATGTAGATTATCTTTTGTCGGCTAAATCTGGAAACAATTATTTTGTGAAATTCATGTTATAGTACTATATATAATATCCGTTTATTTCACATTAATTTATTATGAATTGCAATGTTTATAATTTTAAAAACAATACTTATCTCGTTTATATTAGAAATTACATATTATTACTGCAATAAATACTGTAGTTTTTTTTATTAAAAAATACCTTACTTGTATAGAGTATATATAGGGGAGTATAGAAATGTTGTTTCTGGCTATAATTTAAATATCTCTGGAATGGCTTAATATTTTCAAAAGCGGTTTGTTTTATTAATAGCCTAATAATGTGATGATTTTGGGCNTTGAATAGCCTAATAATGTGATGATTTTGGGCACAAAAAATAATTTTTTAATTTTAACAATTTCTACGAAATCTCGGGACCATCTCCGAGACACGTTTTCCGGTCACTTCCGGTGATCACATCCGGTAAGTGTGGTATGTGTCCGATAGAGGAACAATAGATCTTTCATTTGAGCCCTCAATCGGTCCAATCGGTTGAGAAACACAAAAGTTGTGAAGGGTCAAAGTTCACCAATTTTGCTTTAGCATTACATTTAGAATTACATTTTAATGTACAGGGTGTGGCATATTTTTGAAAAATATTTAAAATTTTTCCAAGATTTATTCTAAGATTTTCCCAGATTATGGCCACATCCTGTACATTTTAGCAAAATTCGTGAACTTTGACCCTTCACAACTTTTGTATGTCTCAACCGATTGGACCGATTGAGGGGTCAAATGAAAGATCTATTGTTCCTCTATCGGACACATACCACACTTACCGGATGTG